AGTAATATTTGATTCCTTTTAAATTTTAGTTATCATTTACATATTAGATTTCTTGAGTATTATATTAATTTATAGGTAAATTACACTAAACCCCCATGACCTTTTAGCGGTTGCAATAAACCCTCAATAACTTTCAAAAGTCACACCAAACCAGGTGAAAAATCCTAATAAGTTTATGCATTTTACAGATAACCACATAAATTAGAGAGAATAACAACATAAAAAGGTAGTTTGAAGTACAATGCAAGTAAAAGTAAAAAAACAATTATGATTCGAGACCCTAACCTAGGAGCAAGCAATAAATGTCAAATAAAGAGTGATTTCTGATTTTAGGGTTAAAAATATCAAAATGTCAAAAGGGTTTGCTTCATTATTTAAGGGGTATTTTAGTCTTTTTAAGTCACGTAGTTCGCACGTTCCCTGTCGATGTAACCGCATTAACTTTGAGGGTTTTCTTAAAAAAAGCCACTAGGGATTTATAGTGATTTTGAAAGTTACTAGGAGCATATTTTTATTTTTGAAAGTTCTTCAAGGGTTGAATGAGATTTTGAAAGTTATTTCGCATTTACTACACATGATATATATAAGTTAGCAGATGATATATGAGTTATAATCTACAACGAAATGTAGATAATCATCTCTCTATTACACCTAATAGAGGATCGTGGATATAGTTTAATCGATTCGAATGACGCATAAAACTAAGATATATAAATTAAAGAAATCAAAAGAATCCGTGCAAGCACGGCCATACAAATTGTCACATAAAAAATCAATTAATATACCTAAGATGCAAAAACATTTACCTGCAAGCTTTTCCCTAATTTATTTGCTAATCCCTTACTACCTTTTTTAATATTCCAGAAGCAAACACTTCAAATCACCAATAACGCGGTATTCGATGATGAAGTATATGCTGTGAACATGCCATAAGTATCAATGAGTTTTAACTCAAGGATTATGTCTTTGCATTTCTTTCTTAGTAATGCTACCTATACTTTAGGTATTATATTATGTCTTAGATACTGCAAGGCACAACTTTTCTTGGGTATTTTTCTCATGAAGGACAATTAGAACTCGTATCTGTATTTTCTAGAGGCTTTAGTACTAATTGTAAATTTTGCTGAGACTATTACTAAAATTAAGACGTGGGCTCTCTTTCTTATTTCTTCAATGTTAGTTGTTCAAGATAAAAATGGAGGAAATTTTCACCTTCTTAGCAGTATCAAAAATACCAAATTTATACTTCTATATCGACATTTGACAACAGCCTTTTTTATGCAGTGGGTTGATCCATCTGGGAAATGTGTGGGCTTTAGCCTGTTGGTCCATTTAAGGCCCATTTTTTAAACGAAAACATTTCTTTCCAGCGACTCTTTCAGAACCATTTGAGGCCCATCCAGTTTCATTTTAAACTTTTTATTCAGGCCCAAAACTGTATAAACTCATCATATTACGACGAAACCTTGCATAATATATAGTAACTACTTGACTAGTAATTTTAAGATAGTGAATAGCAAAATAATTAGAGTGAAGTCAACACATCTTTATAATAGACGGATCAGTGCTTGAACAGAGATAATTTGCAATTCAACCCAACCTGTAAAGTTCTGGCTCACAAAAAAATTTATAGAAAAGTACAACATTTTGTTCTTCTTGAACAACTCTCAGATGCAAGCTGGTATAATATAAACATCTTTTGTATTCTGCTCTTCAAAACTTTTATATTGATGTTGGCTAGTGCCCGCTTTTCCCTTAAGATTACATTTTGAAAAGAACTAATTAAGCACACAATTTGATATGATAGTACCTAAGCTCTTATGATCCTTTACCTTTTTCAAAACTTTACGTTCATTTGAATAAAAAAAAAGGTAGGAAAAGTACGTGAAATAAAAAGCCTTGGAAATTATACATTTACTATATTTTCACAAAATTGCTACGAAAACGAAAAACACTTTCCGAGAAAGAAAAAGACTAAGGGGTTGTTTGGATGTTTGTAAGAGTATTGGTTATTAATGACACCAAATGGGAAATGGTTATCCACCTCATCATTTTTTGTTTGAGTATTTACATTGTTTAGTTGATTTTCACCATGAATCCTATAATGGTAGTATTACATTGTTTGGAGGCATCTTGTGATCTTGCAAAGTGATAGTTACGTGGATCTCATACAAAAGTTAATTTTACCACTAGTAAGATTACCTCCGTGGAACACAAAAGAAAATATCTTAAGTTTGTGCATTCATTAGTAACCCACTTAACTTGAAAATTAACCAAAACTCACCTAAGTTTTGAGGTTCTAAAAAAACCCTTCAATTTTCAATATTTTTTTTCCAAAAATTACCCTCAATTGTCAAAAAATTTCGAAAACCCCACCCCCCCCCCCAAAAAAAATAGTAGGGTTAATTGTAATTTTCATATAGATGGTATATTTACGCAAAAAGGATATTTTTGTTAGTGAAAATTATGTTCACACTTTTAGAGGATTCGATAAGCATAGAAAGTTGAATGGAGTTTTCTAAGAATCACAAAAGTTCAGGGGGGTTTCTATCATTTTGAAAGTTAAGGTGGATTGTTTAAGAAACACCCAACATTAAGGGCTAAATATAAGGA